GAGCAGGGAGCCCGATGCGGGGCTCGATCCCAGGACCCTGGGATCATGACCTGAGCCGAAGGCAGATGCTTTAACGACTGAGCCACCCAGGCGCCCCACCCACTTACTTTTATAGGGAAAAGGAGACTTCTGATATGGTATCTTAGTTAATAGGCACTCATAAGCGGGGGCTTCTCTCAACCCACGTCTCCGATCTTTGCCTGTCGAAGCTACTTGGTAGTTGGTGTTTCTGGAGCCTGGTTTTACTACCACTCCCACTCCCACTACTATTACTTTTAATTGCTGGTTATGCTTCCTGAGTGCGGGATGCTTTACGTATATCGTCTCATGGAGTCCTTCCAGTGATCCTGGGACTCAGGGGCTATTACCACTTGGGAAGTACTCCGCAAGGTGCCGGAAGTTTGGCACCTTTGCTCAAGGTCACACAGGTATAGCGCTGGAGTTGGCGCCAGGTCTGTGTGACTCCAGTGTCTGCGCTCTTCCCCTGTGTCTACCTCCTCCTCCTGATGTCTGGGCTCAGCCCTGTGCACGGTCCCGGGGACCATGTGGGAGGTGAATTCAGTGAAGTCCTTGCCACCAGGAAGCTTCAGGTTTAGTTGGAGAGATGAAAACAACACCCACAACTGCGGTGCTAAAAATCTTGGTGCACCTTTATAACAAGATAGCGCATTGTTGAGTTGAACGGCCCAGATGCCAGTAGTTTGGCTGAAGGAGAAGGGGCTGCCATTTTCCTCTGTGGCTGCCCATCTAAGGACGATGTAGGGCCTCAAGCTGGAGTCTCAGATGGAAAGTTGTCAGGTCTGGGAGATAAGAGATCAAGGCTCTGCCACGAAGTTATTTTGTACATTAGGTAAGTTATTTCTCCTCTCCGGGCTATAGGTACTCTAGATGATTTTTAACATGGCTTTTAGCCCCTCAATTCCTGAAGGGCTGAGAAGAGTGAACTCCTGGAGTTTAGCAACATTGCTTAATGCATATTTGCTAAATGCATAAATACATTCTGTGTGCTATACACCAGTATAGATGCTGAGGCTCCAACACTGAATAGACCAAATCTTTGCCTTCATGGAGCTTACGCTGTAGGTGAGAAATGTGGCAGGGAGAGTGGAGCCCCCCTTCTTGGAGATCCAGATAAGGAAGGATGGGTGAGATAGATCATTACCACAAGTGATTTCCATTTGTAGGGCATTTTAAAAGTTTAGGTATGTTTTCACTTATAATATCTCTTTTGATTGTTATGCACCCTGTCCCAGGCAGAGCGGCAGGGGAAGTGGAGGGTATTTCTGGATGAGGGCAATAGCAGTCGTTTGGAAGCCTCTGAGGCAGCAGCAAGGAGGAAGGTGAGCTTCCTGGTCAGAGGGGATTTAAGGTCAGGTTCTCCAGAAGAAGATCCCAAGACCAGGAATCAGGCACCGAGTCAAGGATTTGTGCCAAGTTTGTTTCCTTCCTTCCTTCCTTCCTTCCTTCCTTCCTTCCTTCCTTCCTTCCTTCCTTCCTTCTTCTTTTTAAGATTTTATTTATTTATTTGAGAGACAGAGAGAGCATGAGTGGGGGGAGGGCCAGGAGAGGGAGAAGCAGACTGCCCACTGAGTGGGGAGCCCGATGTAGGGCTCCATCCCGGGACCCTGAGATCATGACCTGAGCTGAAGTCAGATGCTTAACTGACTGAGCCACCCAGGCGCCCCTGGGCCAGGTTTTTTCTTAAGGAAATGTTCTTCTGGAAACTGTCAAGAGAGCTGGGAAGCAGGACAGGGAAGCAGAGGAAGCCAGACAAGGGTCTGAGCTCAAA